AAATGTATTTAAATAACCCAATGATTAAAAAAATCTTTAAACAATATTTTTTATGTGTTCAAAATTTGTATTTGAAAAAGAAGCAATTGGTACCGATTTAGGTTCAGGCCGAGACTGGTTCTAGGAACCAGCCTTGAACATAAAGAACGACCTGGCCATTTTTGGTCGGGACTGGTTGCCGGTGGAAAATCGCAGCTGATGACCTATTTGGGTCTGGCACAGGACGGTTTTCGGCCATCTCTACTCCTTATAGGTTGTTAGTTCAAATCTACTCATGGTTTCTAAGAATTTTCCTAGCTACTATCTTCAAGGACCCACAATATTAGTCGAGAACGGCACAAGCTGGAAAAACGGAAAAATGAGCGTTTTATTGCATACCATATTTTCTTTCTGTAAATTTACAAACAACTTGTGCTGTTTTATATACTGAGCAGTCAGCCAAAGCTCCATGGGCCAATAGATTACACCAACTGGACTACGATCTCCAAAAACACATTCTCAAGCTTTATACATTAATAATCAGACTCTTTGAAACATCAATTTTAACTTGAAGAATCCACAGCCATTTCACTGTCAACTTTTTCTAATTCCATTTCCATAATACCATCTCTCTGGTCCTTGTCCACTTTCTCAAGCTTTGGTCTCTGCCAGATTAGTACACTCAACATTAACGAACAAGCTCAATCTGTAATGCCAAGATAATAATACAGAGAAATGTTCTAGTTGAATTGATACCAATAAAACAGAGATCGCTTTCATGAATTTTCTTCTGATTTACCCCAAGATTTAACCATAATAGTTTTTAGTTATGTGTACGTGTTTGTTAATTAGAAGCATATAAATCCTAGAGCAGTGCAAGCGATCGGAAAAAGATTTCATTGCACAAGGAACCTCGAAGAAAAACTAGGGACCTAAATCGCATCCAATACATCAAGAAAATGAAATAATGACAAGGTTGGAGAAAAAATGCAGTGGTTATGTGGATAAATACTAGTTTAGGGAACTTGACGACTCTTTGGCGATACCATGAAGAAAGTTTGTTCCCAGAATAAAAAACCACATGAGCCCAGTATGTCCCACCTGTAATGGGGTCTCAGAGAGGTATGATGAATGCAAACCTGACTTCTACCGTGAAGGATAGAGAAGCCGTTTCCGTGAAGACACCGGATATGTACCAAGAATCAGATGCTGGTTAAAATAACACTACAGAACATGAAGGCAAGTAAGCATGAGGAGTTGCTGAACTGGCAAGTCCTTGGGTTTTCTCCCCATACGTCACCGGTTCAAGTCCCCTTAGGGCCGCTGGAAGCACGAGGGTTTGTCTGGCTGTTAACTTCAGGTCCCAATGGGATTAGTCGAGGTACGCATAAGCTGGCCTAGACAGACACTCGTGGTTACCAAAAAATAGATGGACGTGAGTACAGCTATAGCGCATATGCAAATAGAGGTTCAGAAAACCTTAGAGAGGAATTGGCTCGTTTGGTTAGGTTCTAGGCAAGGTCCTTGTGCAACTTTTAATGATACTATCAAGTAGCAATTAATTTTAAATTTTTTGTTCCTTTCTGATTTACTTCTCTTTTCTTATGATCAAGAGGAGTTACCAAAGTGTTTATGGTCATTATCAGCAATATGGTCCATATGACAAGTACCAACCTTTGTTGTCCCTAGGGAACAATCTTTAGCCATTCGTGCAAACATATTCGTATAGAGCTTCAGATCTCTTTTGTTACTCTCAGCTTGAAGTTGCTTTAAAGTCGTCTGAATCGACTTTACCTCCCTGCAGAAATAAAACAATGAGAAAGTAGAGATTAGGACTCTGATTAGTCTCTACTGAGCAAAGTTGATGGTTTACCTGCTCTGTGGATCCGCCTCTAAGGCCTTCTTGATGTCTAATTCAGCCAATTGCAAATCATAAGTTTTCATATAAGCTTGTGCCCGTCTATATAAAGCTTTCACATTGTAAAACTCAACATCCAGCACCTGCTGGAATTTTAACATGAAGATCCTTGTATAATGCTCAAGCTACATTATAAGCAAAGGGAGCAAATGATTGCTCAGTAGAAAGGATAAAAGGACTTTGCAAGTGCCCCAAAACATTAAAAAAAACGAATGTCAGTATCTCCATTGTGTAAGCTAAAGAGGGATTGATGCTAAAAAACTTAAATTAGAATGTAGTTTAATTTCCTGCACTATAACAGACACCAACAGAAGTGATGCAGAGCAGATCCAAGAATTGGCCCACTCATTCATGCATCAACATGATAAATGCAACGGCCTAGAAAAGACCCAACCTAAAAAAGGCCATAACTTTCAATCTGTCTGCAGTTACAGACCATCAAGATATGCACCAAAAGCTCACGAACGGAAGGGACATTTTCAAAACCGCCTACGGTAGTTTGGTCCAAGTTCCGGGCCCAAATTCCTTCAACTAGGGTCCAAATCCGACTATATTTATGTAAAACTCCTAAATAAGCAGATCCGGTTATTTTTTATGACTTTAGACTCTAGGAAAGAATCCAGGGCTCCAAATCCGACTCTATTTACGGCAATTTTTAGATGTTATTTTAGGTTTTTATTTTATTACGTTTAATAAGCAGACCACGTGAAATCAGCAGTTTCTAATTTTCATGTCCATTTAAGAAAGAATCAATCTTATTTAATTCTTGGTTTTTGATTTTTGAGATTTTGGCTGTCGCCAATAAAAAGGTTATCCTGTAACCTTGATTATTCATCAGAAAATATTGAAGCTTTTTCCTCAGATCCGTGTTCAATTTTCACTTCCTTTTCTACGTCAAGAAGGGACAAAAGTCTCGGTTCTTTGGATGTAATCAGTGTGTTATCATGGACTGGAGATGCAGTAAGTCACAAAATAAACCTAAATTTAAGAGAAAAACAATGGTTCAATTCCGTCATATATTTGTTAAGATCAATTACTTGAATCGGCTGCAAGTGACCCTAGAAAATTGTAATTAGGGATTATATTATTGCTTTTAACTTGTGTGTTACAAAAAAAGGATACAAGGATATATATAGACAGAAAACCTAGACAAAAGAGATACCGTAAGGGCCCATAGGCTTAATGGGCCTAAGTAATTATATATCGCATTTACATTCTAACACTCCCCCTCAAGCTGGAGCATAGATGTTAATCATGCCCAGATTGTTACAAATAAGAGATTCGCGAACCAGGTAATGCTTTGGTAAAGACATCAGCAAGTTGTCTTCCTGTTCGAACAAAGGGAGTTGAGATGATTCCATCTTCTAGCTTTTCACGATTGAAATGACAGTCAACCTCGATGTGTTTTGTTCTTTCATGAAACACGGGATTGTTTGCAATGTGGATAGCCGCCTCATTATCACAATATAGGTTCATGGGTTTAGATTGAGCAAACCCAATTTCACCTAGCAGATTATGCAACCATATCAGCTCACAAGTGGTTTGGGCCATAGCCCTGTATTCAGATTCAGCACTTGACCGGGAAACGACATTCTATTTCTTGCTTTTCCACGAAACTAGATTCCCTCCAACCAACACACAATAGCCTGTCGTAGACCGCCTAGTAGTAGGATCCCCATTATAGTCGGCATCTGTGAACCCTTCTATGACATGATGACCGTGATTTTGATAAAGGATACCAAGACCAGAAGCATCCTTTACGTACTTCCGTATATACCTAACATCGTCCCAATATGGAGTTCTCGGAGATGACATAAACTGACTTACTACACTCACTGGAAACGCGATGTCTGGACGTGTAATCATCAGGTAGTTTAGCTTTCCCACAATTCTTTTGTACTTTTCTGGATCCTCTAGTAGATCTCCATCGTCCACTTTCAATTTCATATTTGAAATCATTGGGGCCTCACAAGGATTGTTTCAATCATTCCAGAGTCATTCAATATATCCAAACAATATTTCCGTTGAGACAAACATATCCCTTTCCGAGTACGAGATACTTCAATTCCCAAGAAGTATTTTAAAGGACCTAGGTCCTTTGATTGAAACGAGACCCAAGGAAATCTTTTCGCTTCTTGATCCCAGTCTCATCACTCCCAGTAATCACAATGTCATCAACGTATACCACTAGTAGAATGCACCCGGAAGATGACGAAGTAAAGAACACAGAATGATCATAAGAGCTCCTTCGTAAGCCGAACTCAGTCACTACGGCATTAAACCGTCCAAACCAAACACGAGGGGATTGCTTTAAACCATACAATGATTTACACGGTTTACAGACTCTACGAGACTCCCCCTGAGCAACAAACCCGGATGGTTGCTCCATATAGACTTCCTCATGTAAATCACCATGCAAGAAGGCATTTTTCACATCCACTTGGTGTAGTACCCAGTCGTAAGTTACGGCTAATGAAACAAATAGGCGGATGGAGGGTACCTTGGCCACAGGAGAAAATGTCTCGTGATAGTCAACCCCATAAGTCTGAGCATATCCTTTGGCTACCAATCGGGCTTTCAGATGAGCCACGAGTCCATCTAGATTAACTTTCACCGTGAATACCCATTTACAACCAATTGCCTTTTTGAGTGCAGGTAACTCTACCAAATCCCTGTATCATTATGATCGAGAGCATTCATCTCATCAATCATAGCMTCCCGCCATCCAGGATGGGCCAAAGCTTCACCAACCGTTTTAGGAACAAATAAAGAATCAAGTGTAGAGATCAAAGAAGGAGAGCGTGAAGAAAGTTTATCATAGGAAACAATAGAAGAAATAGGTTAAGTACATGAACACTTACCTTTCCGAAGAGCAATGGGGACATCAAGATTAGGAACCTGTGTATCGGAAGGTGGTGGATCACTCGGAGCAAGAGGATCATCATTAGGGGGATCTGCAAACGATGATGAATATGGTGTTGGGTCGGGATCTGATGTAGGTCGTTGCCGCCTATTATATACATGAACTATCGATGGTTTAGTAGGCTCTTGGGTCTGTGTCGAGTCAAGTGGGGTACTAGACTCAGGAACAGGTACGGTATACACTAACAAATCATCACTATCTCTTGGGTTGCAAGAAGTGGACATAGGAAAGAGAGGTATATTCTCATGGAATGTAACGTCTCGTGATACAATGTATCGATTAAGCATGGGGGAAAAACACTTATACCCTTTTTGAAGTCAAGAGTAACCAAGAAAGACACATTTCAGAGACTTTGGATCCAACTTAGTTATGTGAGGTCGGGTATCGCAGACAAAACAAGAACTACCAAAGATCTTTGGCTCGATAGGAAACAATGCTTTTGTAGGAAACAAAACTGAGAAAGAACTTTTACCATCCAAGACAACGGAAGGCATTCGGTTGATAAGAAAGCAAGCGGTAGCAACCTCATCATCCTAGAAATAGTAGAGCCTGAGCCACCTCTAGGAGATGACGATTCTTTTGTTCCACAACCCCATTTTGGGTTGGTGTGTCAACACAAGAAGACTCATGATGAATGCCATTTTGAATCATATATGACTGAAATGTTTGGGACAAATATTATTTTGCATTATCACTACGAAGAGTTTGAATGGAGACTTTTAACTGGGTTTTAATCTCAGCATAGAGTGAACAAAAATGTGTGTACCTCATATCGATTTTTCATAAAGTAAAGCCAAGTAGTGCGGGAGTAATCATCAACAAACATAACAAAATACTTAAACCCAAGTTTTGAAGTAACAGGGCATGGTCCCCAAACATCAGAATGAACCAACTCAAATGGGGATGAGACCCGCTTATTATACACTCTAGGACTTAAATGAATACGTTGATGTTTGGCAAACTGACAAGACTCAAACTGTAGAGAAGGTAAATAAGAAAACTCAGTACACAACTTCTTCAGATTCTGTAAAGATGGATGACCTAATCGACAATGAACTTCAAGTGGAGATGATGAGCTGGAACAAGTCAATGAGGAAGGTACTTGATGTTCAAATATGTATAGGCCATCAGTCTCCCGCCCTCTACCAATAATCCTCTTCGTCGACAGATCCTGAAAGACATAGAAATTAGGAAAGAGAGACACAACAATTTAAAGCACATTGACTGATAATGAATTGAATGAGAAATTAGGTAGGCTCAATACAAGAGATAACGAAACAAACGGGGTAAGATCGACGGTGCCAGAACCAAGGACGTGTGGTAGACCCGTCAGCAATTGTGACATGTGATGGAAATTTGTGTTTTTATTGACATTAGAGAAGATGGTGGGATTACCCGTCATGTGATCTGAAGCACCTGAATCAATGACCCATTTGGAGGCAGAAGATAATAGGCACGTACTAGAGTTACCTGTCCCAGCAAATGCAGTAGTCGGAGCAGTGGAATTCTCAGTCCCTAAAAGTCGAGCGTATTCTTCTGCGGGTATAGTAACAGTACTATCTGAGGTAGAGGCCAAGGCAGAGGCAACGTGCGCTGATGAACTCCTCGGATGTCTGGCCAAGAGCTTCTTACATGTGCGCTTGGTGTGACCTAACTCATGGTAGTAGTAACACTCAACATTATCAGAATATGGAATAATAGCCTGTGAGTCGGTTGTTTGGTCACTGTGGCCACCTCTAAAGCCACCACGTGACCCCTACGAAATCCTCCTCGATAGCCACCACGAAATCCCCCTCGACCAACCGGAGCATTGTTGTGATCAAAAGTTTGAGAAGGCTGAAGATTCTCATTCCTAAGAAAACGGGCAAATGTTTCTTGAAGAGAAGGAATAGCATATTCATTCAAGAACTGAGATCTGATCGAGTCAAATTTTGGTCGCAAACCGGTCAAAAAACTGATAACAGCCACTTATTCCCTCTGGGTCTGCATTGCTTTGTCATAGCACTTAATGGAAGAAGAGAGTTAAGCTCCTCATACACTTTCTTGAACCCCATGACATAAGTAGTGAGTGATCAGTCCTATTGTTCTCCACAATGAAAGGACTTAGAAACACTATAGATTCGAGAGATGTTACTTTGTCCATAATACAAAAAATAAAGATAATCCATAGTTCCTTCACATATTCACAGTGACTAACCAGAGACGAAACAGAAGGCTTAATAGTATTGATCATTTGCAAGTACAAACGAGCATCAGTTTGGAACCATGAATCAGAACCGTTACCTTTAGGAGGATCCGATGTGAGATGAGAAGCCATTCCCATTCTCCGGAGATAGATACGAAGAGTTTTGCTCCACTCAAAGTAGTTGGAGCCATTAAGTTTGTTGTCAGTGAGCTCAATATTTACCGGAAGCATCTCGGGTACACGTAAACTACTGTTACTGTCCGATGTTTTGTCTTCTCCAGTCATCTTCCAATAAATCACAAACCAGAAGAGAGAACGTAGAACTTAGGTCGAACAATAGCAAACCAAAAAGCGAACGATGCAATCAAAGGGTGCCAAAGAAATCGACGAACAAAAAACTTCCAATCCAAGGAAACTGCAGCAAACCGAAGCAAACAGCCGCAAAACGAATTGAATCCTTAGCTTGGACTCGGGCAGCAAGCAAACAGCAGCAGCAAAACTTGCTGTAGCTCAAACAGCAGCAGAAAGCTTGCTGTCGACCAAAATAATCAAGCGAAACAGCCTCAAATCACAGCAGCACGAAACAGCACCCAAACGCAAACAGATCTGAAGTCGTGAGGAAGAAAAACACGCCCAGATTTGGATTAAAAAAAACGGCAGCAACCAGATCTAGACAGCAGCAAATCGTAAACTAAAATGCCTAGGATCAAGAACCCTTGCTACACAAGAAACCCTAAAAAAACAAACCCTACTAGCCGTATCTTTGAAACACGACCAGATCTGAGAGTTTGCAAACAGCAGCCACAAGGAACAGATCACAGGGATAAACCGAAGCCCACAAACAACCAGCAAAACCAATCCCAAACAAGGAAGAAACCGAAACTAGAAGAACAAGAACCCTAATCGAAGAACAAAAATTTCGATCCGCGAAACCAGTGATTGTTACGAAACCGAGCTCTGATACCATGTAATTAGGGATTATATTATTGTTTAACTTGTGTGTTACAAAGAAAGGATACAAGGACATATATAGACAGAAAACCTAGAAAAAAGAGAAACCCTAAGGGCCCATGGGATTAATGGGCCTAAGTAAATATATATCGTATTTACATTCTAACAAAAATGAATCCCATGCCTTTATTAATCTTATTTCAGCTACATGATAAATTAAACCAAGATCTTTATTTTCAGATAAATTGCTTGATTGGTAAAATCTAAAAACAACCCAATAAGGACAAGAATCTCATCCAACCATCAAAATTCTGCCCAAGGAAACCTAGGCAGGGAGTAGTTGCTATGACCAGATTCTAGCAACACTTGTCATCAAAGGCTCTTGCATACGTTATGCATAGCATCGTGTATTTGTCACTGTACCCTAAACTCACACCAATTTAATCCTCAGCATGATAAACCATAAAATTACTGAATATTTGAGAGTGTTTGTTTATAAGTATACCTTTGAACACAGCTTGATTGCTTCCTGGTAATCATTCAGTTTGAGGCTACAAGCTGCACCATTCAACCAACATGAAACCCTTAATGATTTGACAAGCTTTTGAACATCATCCCCAAGCAGCCCTTCTTCACTAACATAATCCACTGCCTAAAACACAAGGATATAAATAGTAATAAAATAAAGTGCATTTAAATTATATCACTTCAACAGATATTAACTATAATTCTACCTTGTCATACTTTTTAGCCGCTCTTTGATATTTGCCATTTTTGAACAGTACATTTCCTTCTTCCTTTTTCTTCCCAGCTTCCTCGATTCTTTCATGATTAGCCATCTCCCATGGAGCTTTTTCCTGGCAAGTTGTTACAAGATGAGATAAGCAGTCATGAGAATTTGGTAAACACAAGCGAACGTCTACCGTGCAAATATTCTATCAACACCAATGATTAGCAAAAGAAATAACGATTAATCGGGATGTAACCTAGCTTCCATGAATCCATACTTGGTAAAGTTTTACATGATATTACAAAAAATTGATCAGTTATACAGGGTAGGAGTTAATTTGGTCTGAGGTCAGATAGTGAAAAGCTAACAAGTGAACATAAAGAGGACATCTTCTGCACGTGATCATCAGGAATACCTGTTTATATGGACAAGAATATTCAAGGGCGGGAGTGCGTGAGGGCAATATAGGCTTTTAGTGGCAACAAACTACATCAAGCATGGTGTTTGATGGGGCAAGGGGGTTAAACACCATACAACTAGGTGGGGAACCTACGGAGATAACCGAATTATTTTTTTATTGAACACTTGCAGAAGGGTATTAGGGTATCAAGAGCGGAAGCCAAAAAATTTGTGGAAAGAGACGGCAATGACGCAATATGCTATAAAATGTAGAAACAAGATGGTCAGAGAAAGTATACATCATACAAAATACACTTGTGTTTGGACAAAGAGGCACAAATGGGTATTATGAAAAGATCATTGCAAGAGCGTATTGTAACATACAGAAGTATATAATAACCAAAAGATAAAAGCAGGGTAAAGAACATGTAGAGTTGTACTTGTACAAGACTCTAGGAACAAAATAAGGGGGGTTGTATACAAGTTGGCTAAGAAAAGGGAAGGGAGAATTGGAGACAAGTTCCATCAAAAGCATTAATGGCGAGAAGCAAAGACTAGTCAAAGATCATTGACTGAAGGAGAAGCAATCGCCAAGAACAATGAAATTATTGAAGTGTTCTGATAGCCGTTGGAGAGGTAGATGTAATATGGCTCAAAAGATTGTAAGAAAGAGCATCTTGGGACTAATCTACATGAACAAATTTCTATGCATTATATGAGCCAAACAAGGAAACAAATCATCATGAAATTGATGATTTCCTTTCAAATAAATAACTATAACGTCAACATTGAGTGTTTAATCATGTTGCTTAAGTTATTGAGAAGCTCATGAATGTCATACACGATGATATACCATGGTATATATTTTTCACCCATATTGTGGTGAATATTTAGATTACGCAAAGTGCTAGTATAAAATTGGGGGTACAAAGAAAGACCTATGAATATAAATGCCTAACACCAATCCGTAAATAAAGTACACAAAGTGAAATTCTAACAATGGATAGAGAAGATGATGTAGGCATGTCCCAAGCACAAGCAATTAGACTTTTTGATGTATATGGGAATGACATAATATACAAAGCACACTACCAGCAATTTGATTAAGGGTTGAAAATGTGGTAAGCATGTCTAAGAGATGTTCTAGATGGGATGTTTTAAAAAAAACTTAATATGAGAGAAGAGGTAAGGAAGGAATGAGCATGATGGAAAATTATGTTAACCTTGGACTATCGAACTTGAACCTAACAAGGTGAGAAAAAAGAACACGGTAACACGCATTAGAAAGTTGGCAAATAAGGTGATCAAGGGAAGTAGGAATGAGATCAAGGACAATTGGTTGTGGAATGAGGAAGTATACACAAGTAATAAAATTGGATGCATGGCTACTAGCCTAGGCAACAAGTCGTGGATAAAAGGCTTATGGTTGTTTGAGTGTAAAAGGTCCACAAGGTCAATTAAAGTTAGGAAAGTACGCAAAAATTAGCATATCTCACATGTTAAACTTGGATGTGTGTTCACATTAAAGTAGATAAAGATATCCAACGTAGGCACCAATTTAATGATAGAATCATGCACCAATGCTTGAAGAATAAAAAAGACCCATGTGATTTAGAATAAGCATGTCGTGATGACGAGGGAAGAGAGCGGCAATCAACATATATTAATAGGTTCTCTTATGGTGCCTCTTTCACCTTTTTGATCCTATAAGCATTTTTTAGACGAAAGGGTCATTGGCCTAGCGGTATCCGGATTACTGGTAGAGCCTAGACTCCTGGAGATGGTTCAAGCCTCACCCAAGGGAAGAAGTGTGCATGAGTATTTTCCATGTATAAATATTACATACTTCAAAAGAAGTATAAACTTTAGCCCATACCAACTAATTCAAAGAAAATCCTTAGTTAGGTAGAGCCCTTTTTGAATGGCACAAACTTAAGATACCCAAGGGAAGAAGTGTGCATGAGTATTTGCCATGTATAAATATTCGTCAAGGTATTACTAAATTTCCACATCAAGACCAAATCAGTAAATCAGGAATAGGAATCTAAAAGAACATGCAGTCGACAATTTTAGGAACATAAACAAGAATCTTTTCTTTGAATGGCACAAACTTAAGATACCCTTTTTGTTACTTTTCTTCTTTAGTCTATAGTTTGTAACTTTTATCATGTGATTCGGGATTTTATCTCGACTTCATACCTTCTTTAGTCTAGTTTGTAACTTTTATCATGTGATTTGGAATTTTGTCTTGACTTTACACCTACATCTATTTGAGCTTGTATAAATTTTTGGACTAGAATGCATATAATACATATCTTTTGTTAAGACTTACGGGTATAATATGAGCAACCTCGTGATGTACTCTCTAGCATCCAGACTCTACATGTCCTGTTGCCACCTAAATAAGTGTGTTTGTCACCAGAGAAGCATATGGTATAAATTGAATCAAATTTTGCATTATGTACCGATCCCAAGCCTGTTAGGGTTTAGGGTTGTTATAAATAGGGGAAAGAAAGGAGAATATGGTATCGATAAAGATATTGAGTTTGTCCTTGGAGAGTCTGGCCTCTCGAATAGCTAGTTACCTATCCTGTTCTTGTTAATCAGGTATATGGCTACTGTTTCTTCTACATTACTTTTATTTTCGTTGATTAGTAGATCTGGTTCTTATCAAATTGGTATCAAAGCCTTCGATCCTAATTGACCATGGTATCAAAGAATCAAGGAGAACGCATCGATGTGCTGGAGGAATCCGTTCAAGCGATGAGAGCCGATGTTCAAGCGCTTTACAATCGCGAGGCAGGGAACACCAAACGAATTGACGATTTGGACAAGGGAATTCAAGCGATCATTGGCAAACAGGATTTGTTATTCCAAACGGGATCCAACAATTCCACTCAAACCGGGTGTACCAGAGGTTCGTTTCAAGGTTCTGGCCGATTGGAGATTGCGTCAGGTGGAATTACTAATGCTTAACGGAATCAATCCTGATGGATGGATATTTCAGGCTGCACATTACTCGGCTCTTTAAAGCTTCGAAAAGAAGGAAAATAGACACCCAATTCTGATATGGGAGGATTAGAAGTCACAACTCATCAACCGTTTCCGATTAACAGACGGCGGTTCTCCCCTTGAACAACTTCTAGCCCTCCGACAAACAAACAGGTACTATTCTCGAGTTTCGTCATTACTTCGAACTCTTAGCATCCTCTTTATAGGATCTCCCGGAGAAGGTATTTGAAGGTAACTTTATGAATGGACTCAAACCGAGCATTCAGGCTAAAGTTCAATTATTACGGCCACAAGATCTGGCCCAAATTATGGAGACTGCCCACTTAGTTGAAGACAGAAATTCCCAAATGCCTGGAGTACCAGTGGTTCTTATAAACCTTACCATAATTTTTCACCTTCGATATTTCACACAACTCCGACTCAGCATTAATGTTACAAGTGTTCCATCTACGTTGGGAAAAGGTTCAGGCAACCCCCTTACAACAACCATCTGGACCGGAATCCGGAAGGACTAGAAAATTAACCGAGGAAGAACTCTGAGATAAGAGGGCGAGAGGCCTTTGTTTCCGCAGTGACGAAAAGTATTGAGTCGGGCACAAATGTAAGAACAAAGAGCTACAAGTGCTCCTACTGCAGGATGATCCCACCCAAGAACAGGATGGGGAACTCAATTAACTCCATTTTGATTTATTCCCACCATGAGGACAAGGTGGTTCTTTGGGGGGCGGGGTAATGTTATGTACCAACCCCAAACCCAAGCCTTTAAGGTTACTAGGGCTGTTAATAAATAGGTGAAAGAGGGGGAGAATAGTGCATCAAGAAAGATAATGAGTTTGTCCTAGGAGAGTCTAGCCTCTTGAATAGCTAGTTACATATCTTTTTTCTTGTTAATCAGGTATACGGCTACTGTTTCTTCTACATTACTTTTATTTTTATTGATCAGTATATCTGGTTCTTATCATTTTATTCTTATAAATACTCGAATCTCGTAATGGTTTTCGTATTATATCTAAAAGAGATTATTATATATATATATATACATATAACATCAAGAAGCCTAAAGAGGAAATACCAACACCACTATAAGGAAAGGTAATCAAAACTTTACTATATTTAACACTTGATAGGAATTCAAACAATTTGGAAGAATGAAAGGATTAAAAGGCAAGAGAAATCAGCAATTGATTATTAACGAAATTGGAACTTACCATAGAAAGAACAAACACAACTCCAGGGAAACTTCCCTCTCTCAAAGCCACAGCTAAGAGCCTAACTCAATTAAAAAGAAAAATCACAATGACCACATGCTACCCTTCATTCCAGCGATTATTAGACACACTTTCAATCTGAGATAGCTAATTGGGCCCAGCCCTATCTTCCACTCTTTTGGGCCGTCTGGAATAAACATTCAACACTTTGGGCTTGGGTAAAGATTGGATCAGATTAGATGGATCCGTATCATTACTCCCTCCTTCCAATAAAGTCGTCCTCAAGACTTGTATCCGGAAATTGACCCTTGATTACGTTTGCATCCTCCCACATCGCCTCTTCCCGAGACTGCCCCTGCCAACGTATTAGCCATTGCTCCACTGATTTCCCATCTTGTACAACTGTTCGTACCGCATAAATCTCTTTGGGAGACGGTAAATCTTTGTCATCTAATTCTAGCTTAGGAGGTAAAACTTGGGCAACCATAGGCGACAAAACAACTTTTTT